CCTGAGTCTTGTCGGTACAGAAATTATGTAATTCCAGCAAAAGTATTGTCATGTGTCCGGGATTCCGTGACGAACAATAATGGGTTCTGGGTTGGATTTATTGTCTACATTCAAACATTTCGGGACTACAGACAATTATAGTGCTATCGCTATTCTACACATTTTCCAGTTCATCGTTGCACACGCAATAGGATTCTCCGTCTTCACTAGTCGTATCCTGGCAACGGATTTATCATACTCTTACTGTAACTTCAAATCACACGTGAAGTCTTCTTGGAGCCATCTAATTCTTTTCTTGCCATTTCTGTAGCTGCCAATTCCGAGACTATTCTCGAATGCTCCGCTATATGCTGTTGTATTCCCATTCTTTTGATGCTTCTGTTTCAAAGACAAAGTCAAAGTCACAGTGCGACTGTCAGTCAGTAAATACGGTCTTGTTTTATGGGGAGCCCTCTCTGACTAGAGGAAGGATCTGTCTTTTGTACATTCTGCTGGCCTTTATCAGCGCAGTCTTTCTCGGGTCTGAGTCCCTTGGTATTCGCGACCATATTTTACTGTCTCAGATTTTGTACTTCCGTCGCCTCTTACGACTCGTAGGATCAAGGAAGAGGCATTCGACCCCGCCTCCACACGGGTTATGATGCTTCTGTTGCTTCAAACTGGCTGCCTTACATAGACGCGACACGGATCTACAGAAAACACGTGTCACGTGTCGGAATGCGTGGCACGGACCACAATGAAAACATAGCCTCTATTGTTAAAACGCTCCTGTTGGAGTTCCCACGTGATTTCTACCCAGCCAGTTCATTGGCGCTTTGGCTGCTGTCTAACAGCGGTGCGGCATTATCACTCGCTTAAGCGGGAAGGCGTTCATTGCGCCGTTGCCTAGCAGTGGGTATAGAAGTTACAGTATCATGGAGCCTGTACAGATCGGTTCACAGGTTATTCCAATAGATTTATGTCTCATATACGGATCAAACAAAACGCTGATGGAAAGCAGAGCAAAGTAACACGATTCGAAAGAAAGAGAGGACACTATACGCATGGATTAGAGCCACTGGTTTTGACACTTTATAAAGCACAAAGGAGACTGTTTTGTAAGTAACCCTTCTCAGTGATATAACATGGTTTCACTTATTCGGTTGTGCCAGTCAGAGTGGCCGCGCGGTCTGAGGCATGAACTGTTTTCGCTCGCTTGGAAACCGGGACCGTGGGTTCGGATCTGTTTCCTGTGAGGTACGAACTGAATTCTTATATATTATTCTTATACACTGCCGGTCACAGTAGCAGAGCGGTCTAAGGCATGTACTGTCTTCGCTCGCTTGGAAGCCGGGATCGTGGGTTCGGATCCGTTTCCTGTTAGGTACGAACTGAATTCTTATAAATTTTTCTTATACACTGCCGGTCACGGTAGCCGAGCGGTCTAAGGCATGCACTGTCTTCGCTCGCTTGGAAGCCGGGATCGTGGGTTCGGATCGGTTTCCTGTGAGGTACGAACTGAATTCTTATATATTATTCTTATACACTGCTGGTCACGGTAGCGGCGCGGTCTGAGCCCTTGCGACGAGCTGATCACACGTCCAACGAGTCCTACCGTTTGTGAAAAATGATTACGGAACTGAATAAGAGGCCTGGGCCCTGAATGGGCAGGAAGAACAATCGCAAAAAAAATTATTTGGCTAGTTAATATCGAAGATAGCCGCGAATATTCAATAGAAAACCCACACGAAGCACCATGCAAACTTCTGCAGGAATAAAAGTTCGTGTTTTATGTTGTATGTCACTTGTACTGTTAAGTGAAATTTTTTCAAAAGTTATTCAATGCAGAAAGCTTCTGTGTTATATTCTTTTTTACCCTTTTCGCTGGGAAGTTGAAGATGAAGTTACCAGCGCAGATATCCAGCCCAATTGTTGATACTGTGCATAAACACAGACTGCTCCATGCCCCGTTTGCAGACAGAATGTTTTCCAAGAACATTAGTGCAATGAATTCCCTTGATCCCGGGTGATATTCTCAGGGGAGCGATAAAAAACAATGTTTACAGAGATAATCCCCACACCCGTCAAACCTGGAGAACCCCATTACTACATCACTGTGGCCAACTTACCTGTATCTTTAAAAATATGCAAAAATACACGAATTCACATTTTCATGCACATGGGTACCATTGAAAAAACTCCTGGGAAGGTAACTGTGCCCTCGAATTACAGCTGGAATTTTGTTCGTGTGTTGCATTTTACTTACAGGGACTTTATGAACCGAGTGCATTTAAAGAAAACAGAATATAAGAAACTATAATTTTGCCTATGGTTCTGTATGGTAGTGAAATTTGGTCTCTGACATTAATGGAGGAACGCAGACTGAAGGTGTTTGAGAAGAGGGTGCTGAAGAGAATATTTGGACCCAAGAAAGATGAAGTGACAGGAGGTTGGGGAAAACTGCATAATGAGGAGCTTCATAACTTGTACTCTTCTCCAAGTATAATTAGAATAAGAAAGTCAAGGAGGATGAGGTGGGCACGGCATGTAGCACGAATGGGGGAGACGAGGAATGTGTATAAGATATTGGTGGGAATGCCAGAAGGAAACAGACCACAGGGAAGACCAAGGCGTGGGTTTGTGGACAATATTAAAATGGATCTTAGAGAGATAGGATGGGATTGTATGGATTGGATTGATCTGACTCAGGATAGGAACCAGTGGAGGGCTCTTGTGAACACGGTAATGAACCTTCGGGTTCCATAAAATTCTGAGAAATTCTTGAGTAGCTGCAGATTTGGCGGCTCTTCAAGAAGGGCTCAGTAAGTAAGTAAGTAAATACATTTAGAGGAAACAGAAGTTCCAGTTTCGAGGAATCACCCAAGTTATTTCGTATACATATATCTCGGATTCATAAATTCTACTTTCGAAGAAATAAATTACTTGAATTTAGTGAAAAAAAAAGTCGAAAAAACAGAGAGAGATGCAAAGAGCCTCTACAACGACTGGATGTAACCTGAATTCCTACACAAGCTACGACGTAAAACGTACAAGCCAAGAGAGAAGCTGGAAAACAGGAAAAGAGACGAAGAGAACCATAAATGAGGTAAAAACTATCCCTGTAACAGGCCGTGGAGGCCCACATTTTTCTATACAATCGGCTCGCAAATGGCGGTGAAATTATCAGCCATACGCGCCCGTCAGCCTTTAACCCCAGAACAATTCCTGGTACTCATTTCTGTTAGTGTGTGGCTTAATTAATTAATTAAATTGAAAAAAATCCAGTGATCTCATCAGAAATCTAATCCGTGACCTCCCACCTTGTAGCATTTTTTTTATTGCTAGTGGGGTGGGACTAAGTCCCTTGTACTGCGGCCACTTCTGGCCTATTGTACCAGCCCCAGATGATAGGTGAGGGTGATTGTGGAGCAATTTGTGGAATGAAGATTGGCAGGGGAAACCGAAGTACTCGGATAAAACCTGCCCCAGTTACAATTTGTCCACCACAAATCCCACTTGACCAGACCCGGGATCGAACCCGGGCCGCCGCGGTGGGAAGCCAACGATTAACCGCTTGATATATGGCGCGGCCCTTTGTAGCATTATAAGTACGGGACAGATTAATGCTTAATCTGTGGAATAAAGAAATAATCATGTTTGATTAAGATTGACAGAAACTTTCGAATTTTAACATCGAACTATACCCGTATGGTCCGAAAAACAGTATGCCTTGTTTTGGCATCACAGAATCCTGCTTCAATAGAATATTGTCACGTGTCTGGGTATCCGTGACAAATAATTGCTGGGTAACGGCTTTAGATGAAGATGTTTTATTGGATAAGTACGCCAGGCGGAACTACAGACAATTATCACACGCGATAATTATAACACTTCTTAACTGCGAACAATGGACACTCTGACGTTCCTTGTAACTACGCGACACGAAGACTTCCGTCTGAATTCCTCTTGCTTCTCTCTCTGATCACTGACCTGATCTCCGCTCTGATCTTATCTCATCTCAAAGTCAAAGTCACATTGCGACTGACGGTCGGTCAGTCAGTCAGTCAGTCTTAGTGTCGAGCCCCATCTGGGGCTCATGACCAGATATTTATTACTGTCTTGGTCTTGTTTCTGTGGGACGCCCTCTCTGACGAGGGGGCGGGTCTGTCTTTTGTACATGCCGCTGGCCCTTGTCAGCGCAGTCTTTCTTGGGTCCGATTCCCTTGGGACTCGCGACCATATTTTACTGCCTCAGATTCAAGACTTCCCTTTTCGTAGCCTCCAACGACTCGCAGGGACACGGTGGAGGTATTCTACCCCGCCTCCACACGGGTTTGATCTCATTTGAGTCTGAATCTCATTTTACTACCGATGGTCAGTCGGTCAGTCTGTCTTGGCATAAAGCACCCATCTGGAGCTTACGACCAGATATTCATTAATGTCAGGCAGCTGCGGGTTTTTTGATTTGGGGCGCTCTCTCTGACGAGAGGACTGGTCTTTCGTTTACATTTACTGCTGGCCTTCGCTAGCGCAGTCATTCTCGTGTCCAAGTACCTTGGGACTCGCGACCATATTTTACTGTCTCAGATTCGAGATTTATTTTTTCGTCGCCTCATACGACTCGTAGGGTCACGGTGGAGGTATTCTACCCCGCCTCCACACGGGAGCAGATCTTGACGTACCGCCGAGAGAATACTTTGTCCAAGGGTTCTCTCTGTCTTCGACGCAGCGTTGGTTAGCGCATCTGTTGCTGCGGGAACGCAACAATTCTGTCTCTGTTACCTAGGCAATTCCGTAGGTAGTGGTTTGCCTATGTTTTCATTGTGTTCTTACTGTAGCCATTGCGTAGCAATGGATGTCATATAATCTGACTTTTAGGCGCCACGCCAGAATATTCATGTAAAAATCGCAGATTCTGTTACGAATCTGTCATTCTCTGGGCTATAGACATTTCATTTGCCTGTATTTACAGGCTCGAAGTTTCAAGTGTGTGAGCTCCAGTGGCGGCTGTAATGACTTACCATAAATGTTTAGTCTGGCTGCATGGCTCGTTCGGCCGGCACGATTCTCTGCCACACATTCGTACTCGCCCCCGTCGTCAGGCTTCACGGTCGATATGTTAACGTGGCTTATCACATCACCAAACACCGTCACGTACTGGCCAATCATCAACCTGCACAAACAAACAGAGGGTGATTCCAATGACCTATGCTGTATGTAACATTTATCATAATTCCGACCTTCTGACCCCATCTTTTTCTTGGGAACCGTGACAGCCAAGGCAGATGCGTTCTGTGCTTTGGAAGACGCGCAAGGATTTTCAGAACTTCTGGTTTACAATGCGGCTCTGTTACTGGCTGCACATATGACTGAATCAATTCGAAGGGCTTCGTAAATGATTCCATTGCTAATATTTGAATAAATAAGTAATTATTAATAAAAAGTAAAAGAGGTAAAACTATCCCTGTAACAGGCCGTGGAGGCCCATAGGACTGTGAGAGGCTGAGGCTCCCACATTTTCTAGATAGTCGGCTCATAGATGGCGGTGAGGTTGTCGGCCTTACGCTCCGGCCGCTCTTTACCCTCCAGGAAGATTCATGGTACCCATTTCTTTCAGAGGCTGAGTCGACCCCAGGGCCATAGTGCGGCTGGAAGGTTTAGGTTAATTGAACAAATCCACCTCATCGGGACTCGAATCCGCGACCTTCAGGTTTGTAGCATAGTGCCTCAACCAACTACGCTACCGCGTAGCCCCAAAATGTTCACACGAACATAATTAATTAGGATATTTACTTCCTCTTGTTATGGGATATATTCCCACATTTGCGTTTACCGAACAGGTTTGTATAGCGATAACGCTAACACACACACACACACACACAGTGCATCAGAGCATGAATGCAACTATATACAACACCATGGGTCAAACACTAAATAATACAAAGCACAAAACATGCAATGTATAACATGTTCTTGTAACATGGTAGGCATCCGAGACATGATCCATGAAATACACATCGTTGCAGAAAAACAGCACGGGGAAGAACATTATGACATACAATACATCACTTTACATAATTTTCCATTTTAATGTTGAATTATTTTAACATGCGTTTTAAAATAGTAAACTTTCTGATGCAGAGCTCTCGCGGGTGTAATATTATAATACTGTAACGCGTTTACGTTTACTGAAGACGCCGTAGAGATGGTTAATTNATATAAGAATTTACGAAAAGAAATGCATATACGTAATTATGGCCCTCTGTGGCTGAAATATATCGCGAATCTTTTATTTATTTATTTGATTGCTAATTTACAATCTACTCTAGTGACAACAGAGTAATACGTAAATATTCGGGCGTCGTAGTAGCGTGTTGTGATTACCATCCACTGATGGGTCTTCACGCGTCTCCTAGGTTAGGTCTTCCGGCCAGTGACGCTGGAGTCTTCTGTTCGCCAGGGGATGGGCGGCGAGTTCATTTATTAGATGGTTGTCGTGGTTGATGGCTTGTATCGCGAATTTGACACGAAAGTTTGGACTAGGTTGTGGTTCGATCAATAATCTCTTTAATTTGCTCTGAAGGCTGTATTTCGTATGTATGTATAAATCATTCATTCATCAGTAATCTATCAACACGACAGGTCCACAGTCTCTTCCAAAACAATTCCTCCACTTGAAGCGATCTAGAGCTTTCTCCTTCAAATGAAAATATCCTCTTCTGTCCCCAAGGTCATCCAGCATCTTCTTACGTCTTCTTCCTCGTCTTCTGGCCACTTCTATCCGCCCCTCTATCTTTCATTCAATAACTTCTTTTAGAAGGCAGTTACCGCGTAAGATATGACCAATCCAATTAGCCTTCCGTTTTCTTATTTCGTGTAGGATATTCCTCTGCTCACTGACTCTAAATAACACTTCTTCATTTCTCACATAATCGGTCCAACCGATCTTCTCCATCCTTCTCCAACACCACATTTCGAAACTTTCCAGGTGTTTCTGATCTACTGCCCTAAGTGTCCATGTTTCAGTCCCATACAGAGCGATGCTCCAAATGTAGCATTTCACTAGTTTCTTCCTCAAATTTAAGTCCAATTTGCTGGTAAAAAGATTCTTCTTCTTGCTAAATGCAGCTTTTGCCATGGCAATCCTGGATTTAATTTCACTAGTACACCTTCCATCATCTGTTAACAAGCTACCCAAATATTTAAATCATTTCACATTCTCCAGTTGTTTTTGGTCTATCTTTATTGTGACTGGGGTTGGTTGTCTCGAAATATTCATTACTTTTGTTTTCTCCACATTCATTTCCATGCCATAGCACCTTCCAATTTCGATTAGTCTATCAATCATGCCCTGTAGCACAGTTTCTTCCTTAGCCATTAACACAAGGTCATCTGCATATTTCACAGTTTGAATAATTTGCCCTCCTATGTAACAAATGTTCAACTAATGCAGCAGGATGCTCAGATACAATTTTAATATTGTCACGTGTGAGGGGTTTGTGATGATTGGGTTTATCGGCACTTCTTTACAATTACAGCTCACATATTGAACTCCTTCTGAACGATGTCTGTCTGACGAAACTCGCGACTGAAATCTCCTGGGCTGAACTAACTTCCATGTGGACCGACTGATCAACCAGGTCGAACAGTTAATTGTCCTCCGTCATTCTGTTGGTTGTCAGGGGAATGTCTTCTTTAATGTTCGTTGCCGCGGAAACGGGTTGATATTAACCTAAAAAGCACATGATTATTTTTTTTTAACTCCAATAATTATACAATCTATCCATTAAGTGTGGATAATAAGTACAGCATGATTATTTATCGTGGAAAATAGACACTGCAAAGGTTTATTGGTGTACTCTTGTTTGAGAGAATATCGCAATAGCCACATGGAATAAAACGTATTCCGTGGCCTGTAGTCCGCAAGCGAACTATACCGACCAAGCGACCGCCGCTTGTCGGTGATGTTAGTGCCAACTTTAGCGGATAGAGGGTGTCGCGTGGTCAGCGCAACGGATCCACACGGTCGTAAATCTCGGTTTTCTAGACCGGAGCCCCTATTTCCTTGAAATAGCTCCTCAATTATCCTCACGAGGCTGAGTGGACCCCGTTCTAGACCCACTACTTCTCAGAAAATCTGGTAGCACCAAGAATCGAACCCGGACCTCTGGATCTGTATACCAGGAACTCTGACCACTAGACCACAGAGGCGTTGCGACATAGAATAATCTATTCAAAATATAACATTAATCTCACTACACCCATTTTTCAGCAGATTAAATTAAAATCACATTTCCAAGAACTATGTCTTCAGTATCAATTCTGAGAAGTAGGAAATATCCAGGGGTTCCAGAAACAGAGTGCTGAGAACTGTGATTTGTGACTGAGACACGTAAACCTACCTTTCGTTATGGGGGAGGGAGAAACCGTCCAGAGTCCACGAGATACGGGGGGTAGGGTTCCCGGAAGCGCTGCATTTCAGAGACACCGAAGACCCTGGCTGGAGAGTCTGTTCTATGAACTTGTAGGCCAGTTGCGGGTACACCTCTGCAAATGAAAAGTAAGATATCTTTTACAAGATGTGCTTATGTCGTTACTGGTTAGTAATATAACATTTGCACACTTAACAATTCTTACACTGAGTAACGACTTGTTGCCTTAAGATTACATGTAAAATACAGTATGTCCGGCATACGCGCATGCGCCGCCTCATTTATGCCACCGTGTTAGGAATCACCTGCACAGAGAGATGGCTGGGTTATGAAATGGCAGACGTGGACCAATCGCTTGGTCTCCTAGGTGGCCAGATTTAACCCCAGTGGATTTTTTCTTGTGGGGTTATATGAAGAACATTGTCTACCAGGTTAAGATCAACGACCTGCAACACCTGAAAGCCTGCATAAGGGACGCTGTGGCTATGGTAACACCAAACATGCTTCGAGCCTGGATATTTGTCGTGCCACTAAGGGAGCCCACTTTTAAATTTACTGAGAAAATTATATAAAGAAAAAGTTAATAGTTTCCCTTTGTAATGGTGTAACCCATTAATGTGTATAATAAATTCTTTCTGAGATATAATGATTTTATTTTGGATACCTTTCATCAGGACACCCTGTATATAAGGGCATGTTTCGTACATGAGAAATACTACAGCCCCAGTTCCTTCTGGGGGCTCGGGAAACTGCAAGTATAAAAAGATTGAGTCAAACGGAAGGCAGAGAAGAATATTAAGACAACAGAAAAATTATGCAGCATGTTGTATAATTTAATGTGAATTTGAAGCAACACAAAACAGACAACTTTATAACTGAACTTAAAACATAGCCTGAGGTAGATATAACTAAAATGTCATTACACGAAGCTTAGCAGAAGTTGAAAGATACAGTTTTATCTGGACGTATTCCAGAATTTATATTTATATTAAGGAAGTTCCTGCGTACACACATTGAAACTTTAAAAGCGATTTAAGGAGTAGTGTAATTTATTTTTGTTTCTAAGAAGTTTACACTTCAAATTTCAGATTATAATACGGTAGACCCTAACCGAAGCCGTTTCTTTCGTATGCAAAAATATTATGTTAAACATTGGGAATAATTAAGAGGTATAAAATATGTAACTCAAGCTTCACAACTCAACTGACGGCGAAGAGAACATGATTGTGGTATAGTTTTCCTGACTGATTCGTATGTAATGAACGACGTTGGGTCCAGAACAATCTGAAAGAAAATATTCCAGCTTCATGAGGGGAGATTTTCCCAGAATTTGTCCCGTGGAAGTACTGAGGGCAAACACAAGATATGTTCCTGAGATTCGAAGCTGGTGCCTGGGGTACGCGGTAGCGCAGTTGCTTAAGGCACTATGCTACAAGCCAGAAGGTCGCGGGTTCGAGTACCAATGAGCCGCTAACAGAAATGAATACCCGGAATCTTCATGGGGGTAAAGAGCGTAAGGCTCCTCACCGCCATCTGTGAGCCTATTGTCTAGAAAATGTGGGAGCCTCGACGTCTGACAAACCTATGGGCCTCCATGGCCTGTTACAGGATAGCTTTACCTTACCTTCATTTTAAAATCTTATACATATTTAACTCATCATACACAGCTTTAAGTAAAGTGTTGTATTTATATAGGGAACGCTGGGATAGCTCAGTCGGTATAGCGACAGGCTACGGGCTGCACGACCGAGGGTTCGGAGTTCTAATCCCGGTAGTGTCAAGAATTTTCTCTTCTTCATGTTGTCCCTACCGGCTCTCGGGTCCACCAGACTCCTATACAATGGGAACCCTGGGCTCTTTCCCAGTGGATAAAGTGACCGAAGCGTGACGCTGACCACTCATCTCCACCTAGTGCCGGGATCAAGAAAATGTGGATCTATATATCCATTTCCCCATGTGCCTTCATGGTGTAGTGCTTAATTAGTTAAGCACAGGGACAATTTTACTTTTAGCTTTATCTATTATTATTATTATTATTGGAGGGGGTGGGTTTCCCCATGAACCGCGACCAGTTTGATCTATTGTACGTCCCCCTATGATATTCTACCAGTCTCTATACCCTACCGGTACTGGTGCGTGCCATCAGTCCAGACTCAGCCAGCGAGTACGGCCTCTACTGGCTCAGCGGTATCTAGATGCTCCCGGATCTAGAGACTATTGTTGGGCGGGAAATGTCCTTACAAATTTGGCTCAGAGACCTTGAGGCATGAGGTTCTTTTACGTGCCGTAAAGCTACGACACGGGACCCACGCCTTAAAGTCCCTCCCGGAGGACTTGTTCCCTGAAATTTCCGTCCTTAAATATTCCACGACCTCCGCCGGGTTTGAACCCGCGTACCTTGAGTCATGAGGTGGGAACGTTACCCCTAGACTACGGAGGCAGTTTTAGCTTTATCTATATTCATTCATTAAATCAGTGACTCTACAGCCCATTGTTGGGCCCTGGCCTCTTCAGTTCCGTAATCTGTTTTTACTCAGACGGTAGGACTCCTTGGACGAGTGATCAGCCCGTCGCAAGGCCTCTACCTAAACACTGGACAACACAAACACAGAAGACACGTACGCACAGACATCCATGCCTTGAGTGGGCTATAACTCTATTACAAAGTAATATTGTATACTTGAGATGCCGCTTACAGTGGTCCAGCAGTCTTCGCCCGCTATAATATCGGGATCGTGGGTTCGAATCCCACTTGAAACATGGATTTCTGTGTGCGTATATTCTGCGTTTGTGCTGTCCTGTGTGTCCAGGCAGCGGCCTTGCGACGAGCTGACCCCCCGTCCAAAAGCAAGAAACGGAAAAAGCGGTCAAAGTCCAACAAAAGGGCTGCAGAGCTATAACTGGATAGGAGATAGATAAGGTAAAGGTATCCCTGTAACAGGCCGTGGAGGCCCATAGGGTTGTGAGACGATAAGGTTATCAGCTGGGTGCCCATTATCCCCCAGGAAGATTCCGTGTACTCATTTCTGTTAGAAGGTGAGTCGACCCCAGGACCATAGTGCGGCTGGTAGGACTAGGTCAACTGAAAAAATCCACCTCATTGGGATTCAAATTCCGCGACCTTCCGACTTGTATCATAGTGCCTCAACCAACTACCCTAGATAGATAGACAGATATAAGATTGAGACACTGAAGCAACGCCCAGGGAACGCATGAGTATGACGTCAGCTGTGCACCATCATGCAATAATCGTTGGCTTCAAATGAGAAAAAAAAAGTACAGTGTTCTAAATATTGCGTTATGAATGCAAAAGACCAGTTTGAAAGTTTCACGTGAAACACTTTCGTCGGAGAATTGCGCTCGTGGGAGCAGCGTTCAAATGCTCGTACGCCTGAGATCCCCTCATTACAGACTCGCAGGTGGGTGGGTGGGGCGGCACTTCGAATATTTTCTTTTACAGAAAGACAGTGAACTCTAAGTTCCTGGAGTTCACTTCTATATCACTGAAAGAGATTCCTGTTAAATTGAGTCAGAAGTTTGGCGATGCTGTTCTGACAATTCAAATTACACTAAATTTAACGTCCGAGGCCGCGCCATAGCTCAAGCGGTTAGTCTCTGGCTTCACACCGCGGCGGCTCGGGTTCGATCCCGGGGGTCTGATCAAGTGGGATTTGTGGTGGACAAAGTGGCGCTGGGGCGAGTTTTCTCCGAGTACTTCGGTTTCCCCTGCCAATCTTCATTCCACCAAATTCTTCATCATCATAATCACCTGGGGCAGGTATAATAGGCCAATCAGTGGCCGCCGTGCCGAATGGACCCAGCTGGACTCCACCCCCCACTAAGCGAATTAAAAAAATGTAACGTCCTAATTTTTTTAAGCATGAATTATCCTGGAAGTATGATAAAAGTATTCTAACAAATAGCTAAAAATATTTTACTTTAATTTTACTAAAATTTCAATCTCTTTTAGTGATCTAGCTTGTCTGATTAGGTTTGATATTTTACTTATTTATTTATTTATATAAGGTTAAGCTGTCCCTATGCTTAATTAAGCACCAGGCCATAAAGACATATGGTGGAGTGGATATATAGATCCATATTTCTTGACCTAGGTACTAGTTTGCCGGTCACGGTAGCAGAGCGGTCTAAGGCATGTACTGTCTTCGCTCGCTTGGAAGCCGGGACCGTGGGTTCGGATCTGTTTCCTGTGAGGTACGAACTGAATTCTTATATATTATTCTTATACACTGCCGGTCACGGTAGCCGAGCGGTCTAAGGCATGCAGTGTCTTCGCTCGCTTGGAAACCGGGATCGTGGGTGCGGATCTGTTTCCTGTGAGGTACGAACTGAATTCTTATATATTATTCTTATACACTGCCGGTCACAGTAACCTAGCGGTCTAAGGCATGTACTGTCTTCGCTCGCTTGGAAACCGGGATCGTGGGTTCGAATCCCACTCAGGGCATGGATGTTTAGTTTGTGTGTGTGCGTTTTTCTGTGTTTGTGTACAGGTAGAGGCCTTGCGCGGAGCTGATCACCCTCCCAAGGAGTCCTACCGAATGTATAAGATCTAGAAAAACCGAAGTGAACGGAGAAGTTCATGGAGGTAGGCCTAGGACCACTGGGGCTGTAGTGCCAAGAAAATAAAGGCAATAGTTTGGGGTGAGTGGTTAGCTTCACGCCCCTGCCGCTTAACCCCAGGGAAACATCTGCCGGTTTCCATTGCATAGGAGACTGGGTGGGCCCCAGAGCTAGTCTGGACGACATTGATAAGAGAAAATTTTTGACTACCCGGACCCGAAATTCAACACTTCTGTACAGGCTGCGTTATCCCGGCTAAGATATTTTAATAATAAGGAACAAGAAAATATTAAATGCTATTTTAGCTTTCTCACCCGTAACTGGAAATAGGCCCAGTCGAGTGTAAGGAGTCGAAAAATATCCTTTACTCTGCGGTTCATCGTCTTAAAGTGAATTTGCAACTTTGAGATTATAAAAATAAGATGACCGGTTTATCCTGTCTCGCGCCTAGGGAAATATATCCCAACAGAAGCAAATTAATTATGCAAGCACGTATTGTAGCATGCAGTTCCGTTGCTAAGTAACGACTCTTTAGCCAACGCCAGCTTTTAGGCAACAGATGATAACTAGGAAGAGGTGTTCTCTATGCTGTCCGCGCGACAGCTGCGTGACGTAACAATAGAAGTACTGTTGGGAAAGATGTTTTCTATGCGGTTCGTACGGCGGTGTTATAAACAGGACAAGTCAATGAGTTAATCAGTTGTGAGAGAGTTGTCGGTTAGTAGCGTCGTGGGCACGGAAGCTGAGGAAGCTACGGCGTTGGAAACCGTTACCAGACAACGACTGGTGAAGATACGGCAGACTGGGATTTATTTTGTGCTTTAGTGAACTGCAGAGTATGTGAATTAGCGATAGCGATGTAGTTACTTGTAGTTACGTTCTGTAAGTGTTCATTAAATCCAATTAGCAATCCATATCCCGTCTATAGTCTCTCATACACGTGATAGTGTAATTAAAATAAATGTTTCCTCATTATAATATTTAAGCATCAAATTAGAAAGAATTAAATTCCACCCATGTCATTAAAGGAAAAATAAAAAACATGCGTAGTCGATAAGGAAGTATTGATCATTAGTGAACAACGTATTAATCAAAACAAAACACTTCCGGGACTCGAGCCAAATGAGATCTAAAATCAATATGGGAGGGCAACAGTATATGCTTGTTACAAATCATAAAAGTGACTGTGGTTTACGAACTACGATCCAGGAGGGTTGAATATGGTTAGCAGGCCGAAACGCATGTGCTACTGAATTTCAAGGGAATTGTGGTTACTGTGGTCTAGTGGTCAGATTTCCTGGTTACAGATCCATAGGTCCCGGGTTCGATTCCCGGCGCTACCAGATTTTCTGAGAAGTAGTTGGTCTGAAACGGGGTCCACTCAGCCTCGTGAGGATAATTGAGGAGCTATTTCAAGGAAAAAGCTGCTTCGGTCTATAAAACCGAGATTAACGTCCGTGGGGATCCGTTGCGCTGACCATGTGACACCCTCTATCCGTTAAAGTTTGCACTAATTTCGCCGGCAAACGGCGATCGCTCGGTTGGTATAGTTCGCTTGTGGACTACAAGCCACGAAATTTCTTTTGTTTTTGTGGTTGGTGCAGATGATCAGTTGCAAAATCTGATCTTAATGCTGGATTAAACAAGGACGGAAATCATAGCTCTCACAGCGTCTATACAAGGAAATCTAACTTCACCAGTTAACTGACTCCACGGATCAGAGTCCTTCTTGAGACACTAACAGTCGCTCATTTCGTTAACAATTTATCCGCCATTTATGGAACCTGAAGCTTCATTGCCATGTTCACAAGAACACAACACTGATCCCTATCCTGAGCCAGATCAATCCAGTCCACAACCGCCCAGCCTATTCACCTGATATACGTTTTATTATTGTTGTTTGTCTGCGCATAGATCTTCTGAGCGGTCTCTTCTTTTCAGGATCTCCGACAAAGATTTTATGTGCTTTTCACAAAATTTATGAGAAAAGAATTGAAGTTAGATCTCACAGTAGGAAAAATTTGTGAATGACAAATTCTTTTTATCTTCTCACAAACTATAAAAAGTATGAAACATTTATAGATGGGCTTTTCGTATTACATAATAAGAGAAGCACAACATGTGGATTTCTTCATAAGGGACAGTGCCGTCATGATCAACATTCTTTCTTTATTTACTGCGAAGTTTAAAGCATCAAAGCGGTGAGGAGATGTGATAAGTCACAAGCAGACTGCATATCTGTCATCCATTCTGATCTGTTCGCTTCTTATTGTTAGGAAACTAATGTTTTGAAACTGAAACAAGACTAAGGACTCCTCCTGTTTTCCCTGTCGAACAAAAACAAACTCCTTGGCCTGTAGTCCGCAAGCGAACTATACCGACCGAGCGACCGCAGTTGTCGGAGAAGTTAGTACCAACTTTAGTGGATAGAGGGCGTCATGTGGTCAGCGTAACGGATCCCCACGACCGTTAATTTCGGTTTTCTAGACCGGAGCCTATATTCCCTTGAAACAGCTCTTCAGTTATCCTCACGAAGCTGAGTGGTCTCCGTACCAGACTCACGGGAATCGAACCCGGGACATCTGGATCTGTAGCCAGCAACTCTGACCACTAGACCACGGAGGATGTCTGTTTTCCTTGTCACCAGTGACGCAATTTTATTGCTGATATATGTTCCTACAGACAAAAGAAGACTCAACGGTATTTATGTCCGATAAGCCCCAAGCTTGTATCCTAGTGTTCTAACGCGCCATATGCAGGACACTGGGATGTTGGTAACACTGTACACGGTCAGGGGGGAGGGGAACGTTGGTAAATTTATTGTGTTAGCGGGCCATACTGAAATTTCTCCCTTGTAAGGGAGAATTCGGGAATTCGGTGACCTGAAATAAATTATGTAGGAAATGAAGACGACTCAGGACTACATTATGCAAGATGGAGGGGGGGGGAGGCTGTACATCGCTCACGCCAAGTCAGCAAGTGAAGCGAGCAGTTCGGAGCGCGAAGGAGAGCGGAGGGGCTGTCCTGGATAAGATGGCTGTCCAGGTTACGCTGCGCTCCACATTAAGTCGACAATTCAGCTCACTGTACTAATTACTACAATTCAAACTGATACTTCTGATGTCCGGAAAGTGTTGTAAAGGCAATTTCGATGTCATTATCACTACTATCAGGCCCACCAATACTTTGCAATGTACTCCACACGACAGGACTCTTCTTGGAAAGCTAACATTCCTTGAGGTAAAGCTATCCCTGTAACAAGCCATGAGGGCCCATAGGGTTGTGAGACGTTGAGGTTCCCATGTTGTCTAGACAATCGGCTCACAGATGGCAGTGAGGCTGTCACCCTTACGCGCCGCTTTCCCTGCTAGAGACTGAGTCGACCCCAGGGACATAGTGCGGCTGGAAGGATTAGGTAAATTGAAAAAATCCAAGGATCTCATCAGGATAGTTCCTCACCCAACTAGGCTATTGTGTGCCCCATTCGCTTAGATAGATGTAAAATATCCCACCACGTACGTAAGATGAAAGTTCATTAATGTGCCAGATGATTCCAATCCACACCCTCGCACACTATGTCCTTAAGATCGTCTTTCTACAGGAATGACTGTCGTTAAATTCTCTGGGTGTTAATAAGAAATAAACAGATTTAATTTAACATAACATGGAAACTATTTCTCTTGTTAATGTAGAGTGGCCATATTGTCTTTGTATTTATTCTTAAAATTCCCTCAGAAATGGGAGGGAATAATGGAGTATTATTATTATTATTATTATTAATATTGGAGGGGGTGGGTTTCCCCATGTACCGCGACTAATAGTCTATTGTACGCCCCCCTTTGATATTTTACCAGTGTTCATACCCTGCCGGTACTGGTGCTCGCTATCAGTCCCGTTCAGCCAGCGAGGCTGGCTGCGGTACCCGATGCTTCCCCATCTACCGGAGGCATTTGAATCTAAAGGCATCTGACGATGTTGCATAATACTCAGAATTACTGGGTTTATTTCTACCTCCCTTTCTATCCTACTTCCAAGCATGTGCGTGCTTTATCACAGTTTTTATTGCATATTTTCTTGTTATCTCCCACCGAATTAGCCTAGTCTCAGGTAATTAGTTAGTTAGTTATTGGAGAGGGTGGGTTTCCCCATGCACTGAGACCTGTATTGGTCCATTGTGCTTCCCTCTATGATTTCTACCAGTCTCTATATCCTACCGGTACTGGTGCTTACCATCAGTCCCGCCCAGCCAGCGAGACCGGCTCTACTAGCTGAGAGGTATCTATAATGCTTCCCCCATCTACCAGAGGTATTAGAGACTGCTGTTGGGCGGGAAACGTCCGTTAATTTGGCTCAGTGACCTCCTTTGGAGATATGAGGTTCTTTTACGTGCCGTAAAGCTACGACACGGGACCCACGGCTTAAAGTCCCTCCCGGAGGACTTGTTCCCTGAATTTTTCCGCCCTTAAAAATTCGACGACCTCCACCGGGTATTTGAACCCGCGTACTACGAGTCATAAGGTGGGAACGTTACCTCTAGACTACGGAGGCCGCTTTCAGGTAATGAAATAGCTGTGTGAATCTGACAGGGTTGTCCAATGATTGTGGTTAACTCTTTCTATGGAAACCAAAAGAGTAAGTGTCTCCCCGCTCACCTGATGATGGAAACAGATCTAGTTCCCGAAACGTTTTCTAGTTTCTAGAATAATGGACGATGGGCAAATTCCGAGAAACCAGTAATTCTGAATACTGGAGTGTGTTATCGGAATTTCGACACAACCGTAAGTAGCGAGTAGAGGCAGTAACCGACAAAACAGAGTACACCTTTCCATAAACTCCTCATGACAACTGCTAACAGTACACTCACCTCCCAATCTGAGCTCTGCGGATCCTTGCGCCATTTCTATCTGATTTTTGACGAAACACTGATACATCCCGCGATCCTCCTTCAACACAGCCGAGATATGAACTCTGTCCTCTGACGGCTGACGTATTCGGGCCCCAGTCCGTAGGGGCTGTCCATCCTTGAGCCAATGTATGGACGTGCGAGGAAAGCCCGAAACACTGCAGCGGAAAGTCGCACTTTTCCCTAGGTCGACCCTCTGGCGACTGGGGTGGACAAGCACTTGCAACGGCGAACTGATGCTGAGCTGCACTTCTAAAGTCTCGCTGCCCTCCTTGTTGCTGGCGTTGCAGAGGTACGTCCCGGCGTCGGACTCTCTGACGGCCGTGATGACGAGGGTTCCGTCACGAACAATGTGCCTCTCAGTCCCCTCCAGCGCCGTCTCGTGTCCGTTCTGTTGGTGGTACATCCACCTGCGGCAAGTCACAATAATACAGGTAATATTAGAGTTGTCCCTGTGCTTAACTAATTAAGCACTACGCCACGAAGACGTATGGGGGAGTGGATGTATAGATCCATATTCTTTTTTGTCCTGGACACTAGTTGAAGGTCAGTGGTCAGCTTCACACCCTTGCCGCTTTAGCCCAGGGAAAGAACCCCAGGTGGCCATTGGATAGGAGATTAGGTGGACCCCAGAGTCGGTATGGACGACGTGGAGAAAATTCTTGACCCTGCCAGGACTCGAAATGCCACCCCTCGGTCGTCCAGGCCGTAGCCAGTATCTAACTACGCTTTCCTGGCTCCTAAGTCAGAATAATAATAACATTAATAATAAAAAAGGTGAAGTTATCCCTGTAACAGGCCGTGGAGGCCCATAGGGTTGTGAGACGTCGACGCTCCCGCATTATGTAGATAGTTGGCTCACAGATGGCGGTGAGGTTGTTAACCTTACGCGCCGGTCGTCCTTTACCCCCAGAAAGATTCCTGGTATGCATTTATCTCGCGGAACTGAGGAAAACCACTGGGAACCCTCAGTCAGGATAGCCAATGTCTCGGCCAGGATTCAAACCCAGCACCTTCGGAATGAAAGCAAAGAGTACTGACTTTGCGGCCAGCCCGTTTGATCGCGTAATACGAGTATGTTGTGTTTCGAAGGCAATAAGGGAGCAATCATTGTAATACGATACGCGGGGAGTAGGGAATTACGTCCTTATTGGGATGTGACACTGTGTAACATGGTAGAAACTTATAGACGTTTCGGAGAAACTTACTACCTCAATCTTCATGGCCGAGGAGGAAGACAAGTAAACAAGCAGCAAGCATGTCACCAACGTGAGAACTTAAAATTTTATGATACGTGAAATTTGAAGAGTGACATATCTCGAAAGTCATCTAATGATAATATCAACGTTATTAAATATATGAAATCAAATCATTAGGGGACTTACATGTGCAATGCCGGTTGGTACTGCCCTTAACAGAACGGTATAATGCAGAATGAGAGGATGTATGTGGTTGGCCAATTGGAAAGGGTGTCGAAGGGACAGTCACAGCGTATTTTGGGGTAGAGGTACTCCTCCATTTATGCGACAGTTGTGTTGAAAAAGGGGTGGCGCGGGGGGTGCAGTCACATAAATCAAATGGGCTAGGCCAAATTTTCCCTTCTCCCCTCTCATTCCTCCTCTGTCACCCACACAATACTCTACTCCCCCTTTTCCCTCTTCACTCCTCCTCTGTCACCCACACAATACTCTACTCCCCCTTTTCCCTCTTCACTCCTCCTCTGTCACCCACACAATACTCTACTCCCCCTTTTCCCTCTTCACTCCTCCTCTGTCACCCACACAATACTCTACTCCCCCTTTTCCCTCTTCACTCCTCCTCTGTCACCCACACAATACTCTACTCCCCCTTTTCCCTCTTCACTCCTCCTCTGTCACCCACACAATACTCTACTCCCCCTTTTCCCTCTTCACTCCTCCTCTGTCACCCACACAATACTCTACTCCCCCTTTTCCCTCTTCACTCCTCCTCTGTCACCCACACAATACTCTACTCCCCCTTTTCCCTCTTCACTCCTCCTCTGTCACCCACACAATACTCTACTCCCCCTTTTCCCTCTTCACTCCTCCTCTGTCACCCACACAATACTCTACTCCCCCTTTTCCCTCTTCACTCCTCCTCTGTCACCCACACAATACTCTACTCCCCCTTTTCCCTCTTCACTCCTCCTCTGTCACCCACACAATACTCTACTCCCCCTTTTCCCTCTTCACTCCTCCTCTGTCACCCACACAATACTCTACTCCCCCTTTTCCCTCTTCACTCCTCCTCTGTCACCCACACAATACTCTACTCCCCCTTTTCCCTCTTCACTCCTCCTCTGTCACCCACACAATACTCTACTCCCCCTTTTCCCTCTTCACTCCTCCTCTGTCACCCACACAATACTCTACTCCCCCTTTTCCCTCTTCACTCCTCCTCTGTCACCCACACAATACTCTACTCCCCCTTTTCCCTCTTCACTCCTCCTCTGTCACCCACACAATACTCTACTCCCCCTTTTCCCTCTTCACTCCTCCTCTGTCACCCACACAATACTCTACTCCCCCTTTTCCCTCTTCACTCCTCCTCTGTCACCCACACAATACTCTACTCCCCCTTTTCCCTTCTCACTCCTCGTCTGTCACCCACACAATACTCTACTCCCCCTTTTCCCTCTTCACTCCTCCTCTGTCACCCACACAATACTTCACTCCCCCTTCTCCCTCTTCACTCCTCCTCTGTCACCCACACAATACTCTACTCCCCCTTTTCCCTTCTCACTCCTCGTCTGTCACCCACACAATACTCTACTCCCCCTTTTCCCTCTTCACTCCTCCTCTGTCACCCACATAATACTCTACTCCCCCTTCTCCCTCTTCACTCCTCCTCTGTCACCCACACAATGCTCTATTCCCCCTTCTCCCCTCTCACTCCCCTCTGTCACCCACACAATACTCCACTCCCCTTTCTCCTTCCTCACTCCTCGTCTGACACCCGCACAATACTCTACTATGCAACCCGTTTCTAAGCACCAGATCAGTAAACACCTTTCTGCGGCGACGGACACCAACGCAACAATAGAACAGTGTTTTCTGTGTGGTCCGTGCAGAGATGTTATGAGGAGAACTGTATGAAGCAACGAGTTAGTTGTTGCTTGGAGATACCAGCAGTTCAATTGATTGAAATGAGGTGAAGAAGTTGGCTGGCGAGTGAGAGAGCTCAGGTGTCAGCTGGAAGTCAGGCCGTGAAGAGAAAACTAGGAGGTTGGTGTAAAATGGCCGCCAGACTGGGACCCAATTAGTTGAGTTGTCAGTTAACATGAGTTCTGCACGGCGGCTGTGATAAGATGACCCGAGTACGGGAAGCTGAAGAATGTTCCCTCAGTAGAAGCCGTTGCCAGGAAACAGCTAGTGGACACTGTAACAGACTAAGAACACTATTCTGTGCGTGTCAGTGACCTGTAAAGTGTAGTCATGAGTGATGTATACCAGTGGTGAATAAATTAAATTCATCCACTCTATACCACGTCTATTTTCACACTCTCAACTACATGTCAGCACAGATAAAGTAGATCTATGAGATAAAAATAAATTGTTCTCGCCACTCTTCATGTAAATCACCTATACCAAATCACATTTATCCAAGTGAGAGCCGAAACGTGAGGACTGAGGCAGGCACAGAGCTGGATTCGTATTGTGAATCGAAAGCAACGGACGAGAAATAATCCTACAATTAATTTAAAGCTTCGCTAAAACGAATTAAAATATTGGATTCGATAAAACTGAAAGAGCGTAAAATGTTTTATCATATTGTTAAATTCCTATTTACGTCAGTTTAGCTGCCCGTATGAAACTGGGGAATTCAGAGCGCCGCATCGGTTTGACAGCTGACGGGACAACAATAAAGGAAAAAGCATTGCGGCATATGTGTTGCAGTTTCAGTCTCAGTGACGATGGGTATCCATGAATAAAACTTTTGTTTTGAAGCTCTCTCTAAGTGATGGATTTCAGACACGCAACCACGTTTTAAAGTGAGTATGATAAGACAATATCACAAATCTCTCTTTTGTGAAACTCGGCAGTTCCACACTCAACTGAGTTAGCTTCGTACGACAAAGAGGAGAAAATTCTGTAGTACAGTGAGCCCACAAAGTTTCAAAATTTGTTACGTGCAGAGAGAGAACCTCGAGATTGTCCATAAATTTGTCTCGGCCATTTTCGGAATTACTGTACATAAATATAGACATCATATTTACTTTTTACTTAGTTTTGCTTACATCCGAAGTATAGTCTGTTAGTCTGAAGAAGAGATAAGTTTGGAAAATCAACTCCTATGCTCATGGCATACCACATTTCGTGGAGCTGAGCCCTTCTTGAGAAGCCGCCAGTCATGCAACCACTCAAGAATTTCCCAACATTTTGTGGAACCCGAAGGTTCATTACCGTGTTCACAAGAGCCCACCATTGTTTCCGATCCTCAGCCAGAATAATCCAGTCAATACCACCCCAGTCTATCGCTCTAAGATCAATTTTAATATTATCCACATATTTGGTCCACATCTTTGTTCCACATCCATTTGGTCTTTCCAGTGGTCTCTTCTGATTTTCCCACCAATATCCTACATGCATTTCTGTTTTCCCATTCGTGCTACATGCCCTGCCCACCTCATCCTCCTTGACTTGATCATTCTAATTATACTTTGAGAAGAGTACAAGTTATGAAGCTCCTCATTATGCAGTTTTCCCCAACCTCCGGTCACTTCATCTCTCTTCGGTCCAAATATTGTCAACACCCTGTTCTCAAACACCCTCAGTCTATGTTCCTCCCTAAATGTCAGAAACCAAGTTTCACACCCCTACAAAACCACAGGCACAATTATAATTTTGTATATTCTAATTTTTACAATTTTAGACATCAAATATGAAGACAAAAGTTCAGGACTGAATGGTAGCAGGCATTACCCGAGTTCAGTCTCCCTTTAATTTCCTCCTGAATCGAATTTTGATTTGCTACTGTCGTTCCCAAAAATCTGAACTGTGCCACATATTCAAAACATCTGTTACCTATCTTTATGTCATGATTTTGCCCTGAATTCTGGTGACGTGACAGCAGCATATACTTAGTTTTCTCTGAGTTTACTTGTAGACCAATCTTCTTACTTGCGTCACTTAAAGTTTCTGTGTTTTTCTTCATGTAATAATAATAATCACCACTCCATGGATTAGGCGAATCGCCTGTTCGGGCCTCTAATATTGTTACGTCTCCTTCCACTTTCTGTTTGGTCTTCCTATGTCTCGTCTATGGGACGATATTAATAGGCTGGAAATGAAATACGAGCAAGTTCCATCATTTGGAAGAATATTTTACATTTGCCTCCACATTCTGCAATTTATTTTTCATACAAAGGGAAGACACAATTTCGAATACT